GCATACGCAGCGAGAGTAACTCGCAGTGATGACAATCAGCTGCTCGAAAGCTGACCGTGCATGCTCCGCTCCTAAACAAACGACACACAAATCGTGTGTATCCCCCGCCGCCAGATATCGTGGGCAGGGAGAAACACAGCGTTCGCTCGCCAGAGACTTTTTCATGATTGTTTTTTATATATGCTTGTGCAGACAGACAACAGTAAATAGACAGACACATACACAGAGCGCTACTGAAGAGCAGAAGCTGGCTTGCGCTCTGCTGGATGCACTTTTATACTTTCTGGTGCTTACGTCACCCCGCTTGTGACGTCTCGCTGCTCCATTGGACTGATTTGACACGTGCTTCAGAACGCGGTCACGCAAGGGCATTCCCAAAGCGACTCGACGCAGCTCGAGTTCCTGAAGGGGAACTATAAACACATCAGCAGTTGAAGAGCATGTGTATTACCATTCAAAAGTTTTGGGTCAAACTGTTTTTTTTTTTAAATTAATTAATTAATTAATAAAAAATTTTTTTTTTAAATGTGTCTTTAAAGACTCTTTTGCTCACCAAGGCTGCATTTATTTGATCAAAAAATGCAGTGAAAACAGTAATATTTTGAAATATTATTTTGATTAATTAAAAAATGTTTTCTTTTTTTGTATATTTTAAAATGTAATTTATTCCTGTGATGGCAAAGCTGAATTTTCAGCAGGCATTATTCCACTCTTCAGTGTCACATGATCCTTCAGAATTTAATATGCATTTCTTAACCAAATGACTAACATTTCTTATTATCAATATTGAAAACAGTTGTGCTGTTAAATATTTTTTGAATGAATGAATGAATTTTACTCACCCCTAACTTTTGAATGGTAGTGCACTATTGTGTTGAAAGGTTTGGGAGAAATTTACCGGATTCATGTTACATCAAGCTTTTCAGCTGTCATTGTTCAAACACACCACAGATTGCATAACTGATATATAGTGAATAAACTAAAGATTAAACTGGAAAAAAAAAATCACAATAATTTTACAATTCACAGTTAAATATTTTTGACTGTAACTGTAAACTGATTACCAACTACTATTGTTAACTGCAAGTAAATGCAGTTACTCGTATTTTGTACTTTTAAGTGTAACGTTGTTATATGTACAGTATTCTGACACTCCCTGAAACTGTGTACTCTCTAAACTGTTGATCTGCCATTACAGTTGTTGACCTTAAAGAGAAAACTGGCCATGTAAGACAGTCTATGTTAATTCCAGCTATCCAAGCGCACATAGGAATGCAGATCTACTGTATTACTGTATATAGTTCATTTATTTATAGTGTTAAAAATAAACAATGTACTGTGAGCAAAATAAATAAAAGTCTTCTGTGTAAAAGGAAAAAAAAAATAGCAAAAGAAATAAAGGGCAAAAGAAATAAAAAATATCGCCTGTTTCTCTCTTTCTCTCTCTTTGGACTTGGCCTTATTTTAAGAGTTTAGCCTACTCTTACCTACTCTCTCCACCACACCACTGCCACTTTAGCAGGGAGAAACATAAGCTAACCTCTCTGCACTGTGAAACGCTGACAATCTGATCCCGGTTCATGCACATTTATGTCCACTAGAATCTAGCATTACAAGCGAGCCTTATCTGTAGATAACACACGGAGGGTTAAACCCAGCCGAGCAGAGGCAGGGGGTTGATCTGGGCGATAGCTAAATGGCGGTTTGTAATTGGACTAAAGAGTGTGCTAGGGATTATTTTTATTACTTTGAAAAACTGTTACTGAAAACTTGTTCTCGGGCTATTGAGCTTGTGATATGTGATGCGTATCCTCAGGTAGCGTGGCTTTCTTCAGTGCTAAGGAGAATACAGAGAGAAAGAGAGAATGTTTGTGCTTCTCCGGCTCCTTTTCTTCTCAGTGCCTCTAAAAGATGAAAAGCTTCATGCTGTAAAAGATGCATTTGACTTTTTTCCCTTTTCTTCTTATTTAGGGGAGAGATGCTCCTAGGAGCTGCATTTTAATCATGTTTGGCTAATAAAGAGAGATTAGAATATCCTTTACACACACTCAGGGCATTGTCTTGTTGTGTAAAATAGCTTAATTGTTTCATTTCTCTGTTTTGCCTTTATATCAGGTGGATTTTTTTCTTCTCTCTCAAGGTTCCTAAGCCATCTTAGTAGCCACCAATGTTTTTTTTTTGTCTAATTATTTTCCTTTTGTAGCCCTGCTTTAAAAAGATCTCAATTTATTCTGGTCCACAAGGTGCCGGGCTCAGTCCCCTCCCAGGATGGCCGGCTGCCGGAAAGCCATATCCTTGCGGATATTTTGGCTTCCTGGCACTTTGAGTGGATACGCGTGATGGTGGTAAGTGCGGTCCGTATGTCCCCCGTGTCTCACTTTTATGGCTCATCGTCTGTCATGCCAAGCAGGGTTGTGTGTCGCTCCCTTTCATTTCTCACTTTGTTCTCAGTTATCACTTTACCTTCTTTATCTTGAAGAAATCACCTGGTGCTTAGTTATTTGTTTGAATCTGCAATAGCTGAAAACTTCCTACACTTCATAAAATGGGTTGTTCGGTGGGTGCTAGTGCTAGGTCATCTAAGTACAGCAAGATGCTTGGTAGAAAGTAGTTTTGAAAGTAGTCTTTTGGGGCTGGGTTTTCTCCATATTGTTTTGGTCTAAACATAGCGGTGTTCTTTACTAACCATGTGTCTACAAGCATTCAAGGTGCTCTGGGGCCTACATGTTTGTGCTGTCACTAACCTCTTTCAAACCAGCCACAAGCCCAACATGGCTTACTCGATGAGAAACTGATTTGTAGATCGGCTCACGAAGAAGAAACACCGAACCTGTGCTGTGTAAACAAGGAAAGCAGCTTCCAAGAAGAGGGTTTATGAATGAATTATGAGGGTGTATTGATGTTTGTCTCTGAAGTGGAGGAATGCCATTGCCATTTATATCCTTTTGAGAAGTGCATTCCTCAAGGAAACTTTTGAAATTGAGAACGTCTACATGCACTCACTATAGATGGCATCTCAGCACATTCATAAGTAATAGAGAACTGGGTGTCATTTTAAACTGTCTAGTGTAATGGGAAACTAAATTTAAGAGGTAAATTGTTAAAAGCCATGGTCAGTGTTGGGAGTAACGCATTACAAGTAACGCGAGTTACGTAATCAGATTACTTTTTTCAAGTAACTAGTAAAGTAACGCATAAATGTTTAATTTACAAAAGAATATCTGAGTTAATTTTTCAAATAAGTAACGCAAGTTACTTTTTTTCCCCAATTTATTGATTGACAGCTCTCCTGTCCCCATGTTGAGAGAAATCACAAGATGTTACTGTAGTTCTAAAATAAATATGAATATGCATTAATTCATCTCACTCACAAAAAAAACAGATTCAGTATTCCTCAAAATGAATACAAATAATGCATAATATATATGGACGCAAACCTGCAATAATTAAATGTTAAACAACACAAATATCCTTTATGTATTTAATCCCATTCTATGAACCAATGTCTTTGCTTCTGACCTTCGATGATCCAGTTCACTCATACTAATAAGCAAAAATTACTCTTGACAAACATTTGTGTCTTTTTTTATTGCTGAAGTGTGTTGAAATTTCTTCTTCTGCATTCTACTGTACGGACGTAAATTTACTTTCCCTTCAACGTAAGGCTTATTCATTTCACTTTTGGTGAGAAAAGGCTTTTATATTTGCCAAAAATAGATTTTTTATTTTAAAAACAAACAAGCAAGCCCTGTCCATATTTAAAAAGTAAAGGAAAAGTAACGTAACACATTACTTTCCATAAAAAGTAACTAAGTAACGTAATTAGTTACTTTTTTTATGGAGTAACTAATACTTTTTTTTTTTAGAAGCAATGCATTAATTAGAATGCTGACAGCTTAAAGGAATAGTTATGTTAAATAAATGAATTAATTCTGTCATGATTTGCTCAGCCCATCTCATTCCTAACCTATTTTATTTTATCTGTCCATATTTAAAAAGTAAAGGAAAAGTAACGTAACACATTACTTTCCATAAAAAGTAACTAAGTAACGTAATTAGTTACTTTTTTTATGGAGTAACTAATACTTTTTTTTTTTTAGAAGCAATGCATTAATTAGAATGCTGACAGCTTAAAGGAATAGTTATGTTAAATAAATGAATTAATTCTGTCATGATTTGCTCAGCCCATCTCATTCCTAACCTATTTTATTTTATTTTAATATATATTTAATATATATTTTTTATACGTTTATTTTTATGTTTTTTATTTAATTTAATTAAAAAAATATGTATTTCTGGTGTTTATGGCAGAGAATTGACAGGAAGCAAAGTGGGAGAGAGGGGGGTGAGATTGGGAAAGGACCACGAGCTGGGACTCAAACTTGGGTTGCCGAAATCGCATGTCCATGCACTGCCCACAAGGTCATAGTCTCTGACAAAGATTATATTTTAAAGAATGTTGAAACAACTGTTTTGTATATCTTTTGCCCCTAAGAAATGTCTGAATGCAGTCATGTGAACCCAGGACAAGCCTTATTATACAGCATGTTTGTTGTTGACCATCTACTGTCCAGTCCACTTTGAAAATGTGTGGTTTTGCACATCCATAGTGGCTATATTGGTTTGCCTGTTGGTGCCCAGCTTGATGATGTTCCCCAGTTTGACGGCCTCATTTTTGCGAGATGCAGAGGGCAGGGGCGAATCCTGTGTAGCGGCGGGTGGAGCTAATTGTGCTCCATTCATCATCAGGTGGCATCCAGGGACCCAGAGAGGACAGGGCAAGGAGAGCAGGGGGAATGCAAGTGATCTGAAGTGAGGAGGGAGGGGGGTTGCTCCAGGGGTGAGGGGCATCATCAGAGAGGCTGGAGAACAGGGGCAACTATCAGGTTGACCTTGGGGCTGATGGAGTGCCTTGCCCGCTGGGTGCGGAGGCCTGGGGAGTAATGGCGAAGGTGAACCCGGCTCTCCAGCGGATCCATTAGAGCCTAATGCTGTTGTTTTTAGCAGGGAGCAGTGGGAAGCAGAGGTCGGACATAAAATAAAGTGTATTCTCCCTGTTTATGGTGTTATTCATCTGCACGTCATGGCACAGGTACGTACCGGGAGCGCAGGACAATGGGGTGCTGGTGTGGAAGCAGTTACAGTACAGTGGTTTTTTGGGGCTCCTTAAAACTGAGGGCGCTCACCATAACTAAAACCTTTCTTTTGTGTCTGAGAGACAGAGAGAGCTATCATTGGAAAGGTCGAAATAGAGGTTTGCTATATATCTTTAACTTGAATGAAGAGTGCAGCATATCTCTTTAATTGCTACTATGGAGGACAATGTTTTGCATAATCTCCACATGGATTGATTAGCTACAGTAAATTAGCACTTTTATCTTGTGTAGTCCTTGATGACAAAACAGCTTTGGTTGCATGAATTTCCAGAAGCTGGTTGATCAAGTCTTGCTAGTTTAGCCAAGAAGCCTGGACAGACCATTTTCAGAAGGTGTGGACTCTTGTTTGATTTGATTGAGTTGATTTGAATCGTCCAGTCCTGTTCCTGGAGGTCCAACATCCTGCAGAGTTCAGCTCCAACCTGCCCCACTGGCAACACACCTGCTTGGAAGGTTCTAGAAATCCTGAAGACCTTGATTAGCTTATTAAGGTGTGTTCATTTGGGTTGGACCTGAACCTTGCAGAAAGATGGCCCTCCAGGAGCAAGATTGGATGCCCCTGCCTTAAACAATAAGAATTTCTTTTTAATTTGATTTATAAAATGCTTGAAACCTGCCTTATTAGAACCCAACCACTCAAAATGCACCATTCTGAACAGAATGAAGTTTAGTACCTGCTGAAGAGTCACAATGACTGTTGTTAGACCTTGGCCCAGAATTCTGTCTCCAGAGGGAATACCATAGTGAGGGCGTATGGATCTCCTGAGAATAGCTCAATAGCTTTTTTGCTGCCTCTGTGGTAACATGCTGTTGCGTGGCATTCAGCATCACACCTATTTTTGGAGCGTCACTAGAGGTTTGAGGGAAGGAAGAACCTAGGGATTGGGGAGGTGAGGATAGTGCCTCTGAACTTCTGTCACACTCCCAGATGTTTTCACATATTTTATGTGTATGTGTGTGTGTGTAAAATTCTTGTTTTGTTGTGATGTTATATTACAGTTGTTTTGTTAAATTATCCCGCAAATTGTCTGGGCCGTAATGCTGTGCTAAAAACACATGCCTGTGACATGTTGAGTCTCTGATAAGAACACTGGTTCTAATCTGGTCTGCACCATTTCCCTAATATATATATTTATTTTATTTAGTCATTTATTAGACGCTTTTATCCAAAGCGACTTACAAATGAGGACAACAGAAGCAATCAATTGTAGTATTAAAACAACTAAAAACAGATCCAAAACTAAAAGATAAAACATTATAAATACTAACTATACACATTTTAAAAATAAAGAGATTAAATAAAAGTGACAAAAAAAACAACAAAATTTCAAAACTTAACATTTAAATGAAAAACAAAAAGATAAAGCTAAAAACAATTCAAAATATGAAAGAACAGAAGGTATAAGAGTATAATAATGATTCTAACATAACACTAAGCCAAACACCAAAAAACCAACTACATTATATGTGTATGTACAACCACACACACATACATATATACTGTATATGTACATACACATTTATAAATTCAATATATATTATTTCATTTCCATTTAGTTTATTGAAGTATTAAAATAACTCAAATTAAATAAAACTAAAAACTTAATAAAAGACCTATACAGACATAATAAATTCAGACATAATGTAACTAAAATGTAAATAAATAACAAATACAAATAATATAAATCAAATTACAGTAGTTTATCAGTAATCCTAAAAAATAACACTGCCAAACACACATGCTAAAAAACAACTTACTTACACATAGTAAGAAATGGTTATAAAAACTGAAACAGAAGCGAAACAAGTAATAGGAAAGAGAAGAAATAAAAAGCAATACTTATCCTTTGCTGGTGTCCCTGCCCGGTGGAGTCTTTACACTCTTTGGTCTTCACACGAGGAGGCCTTCACGCGATGGCTGCCGTGACCACTGTCGCGGTAAACTAAGCTTTTTTATGCCCGTCTAACAAAATACTAAATTAATTCAGCTGGACACACTTTCCTTATTTTCTCCGCAACAAATGGCCTAGCAAGCGGAGACACTAACAAGATACGCCATACAGAACGAGACCAAAAGCGATATCAGCACGTCTCCACACAGTAAACAAAACAAGCGTTTCCTAGCAACGACAACTGCACTAAACACTAATGACACAAGCAAATGCACTTACGAGCTGCTTTTAACTTCC